CAGCGACGATGGAACTGACCTGCCAAGATCTCGCAGTCGTCCAGAGTTCGGTGGAAAAAAGGAATATTCGTCACACGTGCTCGGATTGCATGAAATTGACACTTCGACCAACCTCACGTGCTAAACCCTCGGGAATACGATAAGTGGGCAAAGCCTCTTTGCTTTTGCACGTTTTGTATCATCGAGGTCGTAACACTCGATTGCAGGGATTCCTTTTGAATATCGAATTTCAAGTATACCTATCGGCACGCGAAATGAATTCTCGGGGAATGACATGCCAGTGACCCGGGGGTAAAAAAGCGAAATTGAAAGAAAAGAATTCGAATGCTAGCGCGAGAGATTTTGCGACTGGTAGCGGGGGATACGTGATTCGATTTCGAGAAAAACAGCCGTCGCGGGATAAACATCTAGCCAAACACCATTACTCAATCGCTAATGACTTACGATTATTCAAACCGGCGGTCAGACATTCTTACGTAAGACATAAAAACGATTCCATTCGAACGAACTATTCCTAACGATTTGTCGAGCGAAGGTATGCTAAATGTCGCGACGTATCCAAGCTTTTTGACCCTAATCAATCAGTCAGAGGGGTAATACTAATCGAAACGAAATTTGTCTTCATTACGTACGAGATGCGGAATTATACTTATCGTATCAACCTGACGACTCGCATCGAATTATTAATACCCTCTGCCAATGCGTTAGAACGAATGTCTAGAAATAAATATAATGATAAGTAAATTTTATGTAGGAAGTTACGATAGTAATTCAATAAAACGTACATAATTATTGAGCATTCATCTGCCAACGCGTAAATAAATATTACGAACACATACTTAATCATTGTTATTATAGTATCAAGTACATTTACTCGAGACAGAGTTCAATATGCCAGTACCAACAATTTTTGCAAATATCTCGAGTGCTAAGAAGATTCCAATTAGTATTAAAAATCTCGTTTCCATCGAAATGGCTTCGATTACTTCTCCCCCACCCCCACCCCAAAAAGAGAAAAAATAGCAAGAGGACGTAGCCGTTTCAAGCTTCCCGATCTGCGTATACTTCTTATCGACGCTGAAATAATTTTTGAAGATGGTAAATTGAGGTAAACTTTCGCCCCGCTTAGCTATACCTAATAATTACCAATGGAGTGGCTGCGAACAAGAAAATTCAGATAAATTGCTCGATACCCTCACTCTCGCCAAACAATACCAAGACTTCCCTGCTTGGCCTCGTTCCTCTCTCCAATTACCTTGCTCGGCTCTAGAAAGAACCAGCGTAACGTGGAAAATCAAAACGCGAGAAAATAAAATCGAGCCCAAAAATAAGGGAAAAAAGCGAAACTAAAATTAAAGCGAAAAATAATATCGAGGGTGAAAAACGCAGCGACGAAAAGCTAAAGAAAGTAAGTCGTAGTGGGAATCGGAGCTCGTGGCCGGGATCGATATCGCCACCCCATGATCGGTCTCCTCGGCGAAACCATGATCGGCTGAGTAGCTCGCCGCACTCCAGATTTCCCTGCAGTTGCAGCGTCGATTCGTTCGAGCGGGAGAATTAGCAGTGACACGTAGAAGGGCACTCGAGCCGCGCCAGAACGAAAGCATACACACACGTACACACTCGCACGTATACATACAGAGAGAAAGAGAGAGAGATTTATTAGCAGCCGGATAAAGTTGGCGGCTGACGGGAACGGCGTGACGTCTAAATCATTCAGCCCGTTCAATAATGCAGAAACGCGACGCCACCACCGTACGATTTGGGTCAGATTCTCGAAACGGCCGCGACCTGACCCCGTCCAGGGGACAACGAACGTCAAATTGAACGATTCGCCTGGCAGAGTTCGTCGATCCCCATGCGGACGCCTGGTCGCCGAGATAGCGGACCCGTTTCCATAGACGCGTTACCAAACAGCCCTGGCGACTCCTTTCGTGAGCGTTTCAGACCGGAGAAAGTCGCAGCGAGGCCTGGGTGCAGGTATGGAAGCGGAGAAAGTCTGGGTGCTGGAGCACGGGATGCTTTGGTGAATCGTTTGGGTGAAAAGGGGAAACTCGTTCCGGCAGGATGTTTGGGAAGGGTTATTCTTTCAGCAGGGTGCCAACCCTTTCAGGCTGCCACACAAAAGAGACCCGGGCAAGTCGTTATGTATGGAATTACGTTTTTCGTGCCTCGAATAGGATCACGTGCAACGTAATTATCGGAAGATACTGTACAGGCTGATTCAGACCATGTGGGTGTGACAGAGACACCTTATTTTTCAGTTATGACTATTTCTCGTACATATCGTACGCGTACCTGTGTCACTACTGTGCATGACTGCATAGAAATTGTTCAGAAATAGTGATTTTGGCTCAGATAGGTCCTAGTATGGGATTTTAAGACTTCACTGGAGGTTTTCGAACTGAATACGAGCATACCTTTGTCAGATATGATATTATTGTCGAGCTACGGCCATTTTTGCACTGCACACGTGCACTGTGCAACAGCACCACTGTCAATATTGTACTTGATTTCGTGAAGATCGTTCAAGAATAGTGTCTTTGGCTCAATCAGGTCCCAATATGGGATTTTAAGACCTCGGAAGTTCAGAGCTGTCAGATATTGTTCAGATGGAAAGTGATTTCGGCTCAGTTAGGTCCTGGTACGGGATTTTAAGCCCTCACTGGAGGTTTTGGAACTGAGTACGAGCATACCTATGTCAAATATGACATTATTGCTGAGCTATGACTATTTTTGCACTGCACCAGTGCACTGTGCAACAGTACCACTGTCAATACTGTACTTGATTTCGTGAAGATCGTTCAAGAATAGTGTCTTTGGCTCAATCAGGCCCCAGTATGGGATTTTGAGACCTCAGAAGTTTAGAGCTGTCAGATACTGTTCAGACTCGTGGACAACGCGTCTTTTTATAGACATCAGAGGTTCAAAGCTGCCAGGTACTGTTCAGATTCGTTGGCAACTCTGTCCAATATATCTTCAATGTACCCAAAAGTGATCTACTGGTGTGCTACGAATGAAAGACTTCAGGTAAAAAATAAAAATTCGGAGTGTTTGATCCATCCAATCCAGCAGTCGAGCTGGCTAGTTGATTGGTCTCCTAGGGCCAATCCATTTACTCCGGGAATCGCTTGTTTGAAAGCTGTCTCGCTAGCGAACTAAAATGAGGTAGCGCGCGGTGCATAAACCAAGGATGAGCCACGATTTCGTGCTCGTGGAAGAGAACAGTTTATCATAAGAATCACAGGACAGTTGAAAGAAGAGGACGATTTATCATAAGGATTACGGGGAAACAAAAACTGCTATAACTTGGAAATAAGGTCAGCCCTGGTATATGTTTAGGCGAATTCTTCTTCTTCTCTACAGTTGTGCTCACATGTTCTGAATCAGCCGGTATTCAAAGAGGTCAATTTTATTCGCGGTACCATAAATGCAGATAATTTAGAAGACTCGTGTAATATTCTTCAGGTATATGTATTCCTAGGTATTTTATTGCTCCGTGAAAGGATTCGACTGACAAGGATCCGAAGCTTTTCGCGTTGTATCATTGTGTTGCAATTAAACGCGTTACAACATCTTTTCGAGATAAACGAGTAGCCGAGGAAATGGCGACGAATCTCGACACCTGACAGTCGACACCAGAAGCTGATGAACACACCTCTTGCGAGTATCATGTGAATACACCTTGCACTGTTCCTCCTAAATCCGACCCATCCACTTTGCTCAACTTCGACTACTCTATTGACAATTATAAAATAGAAAGAAAATGAAAGAAATATATTCAAAATTAATTAATTGCGAAATATTTTATAACGTAATTTAAAATTACAAAATAATTTGATTTATTTCTGAGGGACTGCGAATTTATTGTGTGTTTATTTAGGGATTAATGTTATTTACACAAGTGATTAATTATTAATAAGTTCAAGGTACTAATAATAATAAAAACGTGTACTAGAATTTAACAATTGGGGTTATTTATGTTATTTACAGTGGAGGGAGTAACCTTCAACGACTAATACTGTTTTAAATGTAGGATAATATATAACATCTGTAGACTCCTCTATATCTATATTTAGTGGAAGCGTGTCGAAGGAGCCGAAATTGCGTAAGGGTACTTGTACACAGACTGTACAGTTTTTGGAGGAATATCAAATTTAAGTGGGTATAAAATACATGCATCGAAATATACCGTGATATCTACTCTATCTTTACACGTAAATGCACATTCTGCAATTTCATTTGAACTCGAACAATTTAAATATGTATATAATAAGTAAACAAATCTTTTGCAACAATTTTTCCAAAATATATACACTTCTAATATTAAGATAAAATGGTATCAAAATTCCTAATCCCTTACCATAACAACCACGCAAATTGTTTAAATATTCAACCGAAATTTTCAAGCGTCAATATTTAATACACATAAAAACCGGTCAAACTCACAATAAAAAATTTTTGAAAACGCAAAAATAAATTTTTCCGAATCCGTCCTAATCTCCGATACAGCGAAAAATACAAAAAAAAAATGAAAAATAAATACTGACATGTTCGCGAAATAAATTTTTCAAATTTTTCATTTTTCCAAAATATGTACACTCCAAATATTAAGGTAAAAAGGTATAAAAATTACCAATCTCTTATCATTATGATCACGCAAATTTTTGAAATATTTAATTAACAAATTTTTGAAAATCGAAATTTTCAAGCGTCGATATTTAATAGACACAAAAGCCAATGAAACGCGCGAATAAAAATTTTTTGAAAACGCAAAAATAAATTTTCCGATTCCGTTTTAATCGGCGATACAACGAAAAATGGGAAAAAATGGAAAAAAAATATCGACATGTCCGTGGAATAAATTTTTCTACAGTTTGGAGACGCACGCGTGGCAAGAGGGTGACGCGAGAGCCTCGTCTCGCGGTCCGATCGCCTCCGACACGAATGGAAAGACAACAAGGTCCACGAGTGTACGGGTAATGAAAGGTTTTGCTTACTCGAGTAGTGATCCTCCTCGGATATGTCGGCTGGCTCCGGGGTCGAGATGTTTTCCTGCAACAAGATGCAAACGCGTCGTTAGCAGCGTGCACACCGCCACACTTGTCGCGCGCGGTCCAACGGTTTTCATGTGAGGGAGGTGCAAAGGGCTTTTCAACTTTCTCGCAGTTCTTAACTCTCAGTAACCGGGATTTTCTTTGCTCGCGAGGAGAAGAATCGTTTCTTGTTCTATCTCGGGAACTAGAAATCAATAATTCTACCGCGATGATCTGTTAGATTATGCAACGTAAGATCTACGTACGAAAACTTTTCATTTGCAAATTTACAAAATGGTTAGTTGACAATTTTTTCAACTTTTTCATAACCTATGTTTTACATTAAGATACAACGAGAAACGTTCGTATAATGATAGGCACCCATAAATCAAAAGAGAATCGACAAACAGTTAGTACGAAAAACGTAAAAACCTTCAACGAAGTTAAGCTAGGTTAGTACGAAGTAGGTTATAATAAAAACAGAAAAAGAAAGCGGTTTTTCATAAATATAAATTTTGCAGAAATTTTACACGATAACGTCGACCAAGGCAAGTATAAATATGTGTAATATTCTGTCTTCTTTATTTTATGCGCTTTTCGTCGTGTTAAGTTGCCAACGTCAGTTTGCAGCAACATTCAAGACGCTGCAATTCTTTATTCACATGTGACGGAATTAAGGAACAGGTTAAATGAAAGTTCAAAAGAGAGGAAGGGAGAAATAACGCGAGGGTTACCGTGGGACGTATAAATATATTAATCCAGCATTTTGTGCTTCGAAGTTATAGAAATGATTGTAAATTATAAATATCAATATAACAGCGTCGAATACACTGGGTTTGTCTATCTGTTTTAACGATAATAAACGAGGCGTTCAGAAACGGCGCGCCGCTGCGGTTACGTATGGCTTAACCTGTGGCGACCTTCCTCCGCTCGCCGCTAGAGGGACACTCGGCGAATACAATTCTCGAAAGTGATCTTTAGCCACCGCTTTCGCATATATACATTCTCTCGCCGCTATTAACTCAATGTATTAGATACGAATACCGCATAGTCTGTAGACTATCCAAGTATCCAAATTCATTGTATTGAAGCATCCAAATGTGTTGTTCAACTTACTAATTCCTAGAATTTTAAAAAAATTTCGAATTTCTTTGGATTTCTTCTATTCCCACACCTTTCCAGAATTTCAAAATTAAATCATTCCGTGTACTAAAAAAATATAAAAGACATAGAAAAACCCAAGAAATGTCTGAAAGGATGGTGTTAAAAGGTAATCTGCCATTTGGGTCAGTGTTAAAACCCACAGTTACTCCAAAGATTCGACGAATACTTAGAAAATAACTAACTTCTACTTCTTCCTGTGTATACTACACACAGTTAAATCGATCTACGAAATAACGAGCCGCACAATCGCCCCCGTTCGTCTCCTCCCGACACTTACGAATTACCGCAAAGCCGAAAATGCGTGGTGTGTGAGAGTAGTGTGTAAATCCGTGGCGGATAACGCGGAATCCGTAGAAACGGCGGCGAATTGGGTCGGCTTCCCGGGAAGTCGATTATTGAAAAATGAAGAGGCCGCAAGCCAGACTCGCCCCACGGTCCCCGACGGTGGAGCGTGCACGCTCCGTGTCCGACGCGTTTCACGGAATCGCGATTGTCTTCGTCCCGCGATTGCGCCACGTCGAAACACACAGACACCACCAGGCTCTTTCCGTACACCCACGGAACGGCCGTGGACTTTATTGTCCCGGATCGAGAGCTGGCGGCGGCGGCTTGCGGTTCGTCCGGACGCAAATTACTTACGCCTCGGCTCGGAGTCGGTGCCGTGGGAGACGGGATCGAGGCACGTCGAGAATCTCGGATCGATAAGCGCTAGGCCGCGGGAAAACCGACGCCGCCCCTGCTCGTCCGACTGTCCGGCGTTCATGTCACCCGATCATCGCCACCTCACGTCGCCGGACCAAACTTCCACGGGAAGAAGTCTTTGGACCTACGGATTTCGCGCTGCAAGTTCGAGATGCTAGTGACTTCGTGGCGAGGAAATTTGTTGCAGTTGCAATCAGGATATGTAGCTTTTCAGGGGTCTCAGACTAGTGTGGCTGATTTCGAGATAATTTTCGGGGTGATGGGAGTCTTCTTGGAGATACTCTTTGACTCGTGATGTATATGATTGTGGAGAATTAATTTGAATAATTTGATTAGGATGTGTACCTGAATTTATGTATAAAAGGATATCGGATTGAGGCCTTTTTTATTATTTTTTGAAACCTTTTTGTTGGAAAATTAGAAAATTGTTTGTGCTAAAAATTTAATAATGATTTGGTAATGATTAGGATTTATTTATTCTCCACTGAAACTGAATTAAGATTGTTGATACTATGTACTCATGATACCAGTCTTCTTATTCACTTGAAATGAAAAATTGAGGAATTTTTCTGGCTAGTATGATTGTGGTTATAACTGGGACTAGGATGAATGAAAAATACTGATAAATAAAGGAAATGACGACACTTTGAAACTTAATTATCGATATCTTCACCTGTCATTTAAACTTTGAGGTTAGGAAAACAGAAAGAATGCGAATTTTTAAATAATCTCGTTGAGCTATAACCATGTTTACTGAATATTCGTGTAAAATTTGGTGTAAATTGATCAAGTCCATCAAGTTCCTATAATAATTACACCGACGATCACGTCAGTTCTTCACTTTCAGTTGTTCGAGCATAAGCTTTTGTAAACATATTTTCAAAAAGACACATATTTCTTATAAATTAAAAGAATATGCAATTTTTTAAATTTTCAAAGATACAATCGATCAATTGGAGTAATATACCGGTCCATAATGCAAAGTATATGTTATGAAAACATTTAGATAATTTTCTAATAATTTTTCAATTTATCTCACTTTTCTCTGAATAACAGATTACCGATTTGAAGATATTCTAATTATAGTTCGATTAAGTTTTCTTGCAGGACCCCTTTGATAAATGGCACGTATAATGATGACAAATAGAAATAGGGAAATGCTCGTTAATTTGAGTAATTATGTTATAAAATGTATGTTATATAAAAGTACCTTACGTATCTCGTATCCTTTCGTTCTACGTTCTCTGATACTAGGTGTCTCTGTCCGCAACATTAGCTGTCGTTCAATCTCCCGATCAAGATTATTAAACGCAAATGTCACTCTGTATGAATAATAAACATATCCCCTGCATATGTACATAATTATTATAATCATAGAACGTGCAGGTAGTGAAAGTCGCACGTAATCTCTTCATTACTTAGAAACCATTACTTAACGAGAACAAAAGCTTTCCAATTAACCGCTCTATAGCTATTCCCAGTTGTCCCGCCATTTTTGAGATTAAGAGCCCTTACGCTGACCAAATATTAATCAGACCTAGCGCACGTTTATTCAGCAACCTTTTTCTTCCAATTCGTATACCTCGCATGACCGTAATGTAAAACCTCAATCAAACCTAGCACACGTTTATCTAGGGATCTAGCTCGTACTCTCTACGCTGCCATAATGTCGCACTTTGTCTTTAATAGACGCATTAGAAAACCCTTCGAGGAAACCTAACCTACAATTACCATCGAGTCCTATATGCGAAGCAAATAAATATTTAACAATCTATGCAGAAATAAATAAATAATCTAACGGTATGAAGGAAATCCTCACACAGGCAAACATCCCTAATCAACCAGGACTCAATTATACATCACAAATTCGGTAACTATTTTCAAAACATATTTATTCGATAACAGATGATCTTTTAGCAACATGAGAATAAAATACGGAGCGAAAAATTGTACAAAAGCATCTAAAATTCTCAGATATCCAAACTTCTTTATCAACAATAAGAACTCGATTATGACCCACAACGTGATACCTATTTTCAGCAAATATTTACCACTCGCCCTACCACTGCCAAGAATTATTGAACAAATCGTAGAAAGAACAGAATGCAGACGCTTCTTGTAGGCAGGGTCCGAGAAATGCTCTCGAAGAAACTCTCCCAAAAACCCACGCTGCAGCCAATCCTCTGAGAAACTCGTCGCACACCCATCCAAGGCTGCTCCATCGCGCACATAGTCCTCAGACCAGCGGTATTCCCATCGAATCCAGGATCGCGAGGTCGACGTATCCTCCCGTAGCCGTGTCCGCTCTGCACCACCGGCCCTTTCCTCCTCGAGCAGGGTTGCCCGTTTGAAACGAGCGGCGTTCGGTTTCGCAAGGCGTGTGCACGGACAGCGGCTGGGCTGGCGGAGCGACCGAGCGCGGCTCTCCTATCTGTGTCAGGTCTCGTGTTGCAACTGCAGAAGGTCGACCGGTGTACGCGCCGCGGAGAGCACGGCCAATTGATACCGGCCGCAATTTTGTCCGGCGGTGTTGTAGGACGACCGGCACGACCGACTTGCACGCGCATACCGCGCTGCGGCCGCGCAAAAACTGCCGCTGATGTAACCGAGAAATTCCGACCGAGCCGCATGAGACCGTTCGGCGATCCGCTGTGCTCGGATCCGGCTGCGGAAGAATCTCTCGCCAGAGCCGCGTTCTATCGGTTCATCGATCTATGTTAGGCCTGGCCAGGTCTCCGTGTCGACAGGTAGCGAGAAATTCCCACTCCGAGACCGTTTCTGCGAGATCCTTGACACTGATCCCTGGTCTTAATAGATCTGCTCTCGATAGTGGTACCTGCAGAGTCTTTCTCTATAGGTCTAACACTTTGGACTGACTTCTGTGCTGTGGAAAGGTTAGAAGAAGTCGAGCAGGATGGTCTAGAGGCAAGAGTATCTGGCTTCAATAGGTGTCTTTCGATTTGAGTTCATTGGTGTACGTTAGGTTAGGTTTATTTAGGTCTTGGTGACGACAGGTAGCGAGAAATTGTCAACCTGAATCTATTTATGCGAGATCCTTGACACTGATCCCTGGTTTTGATAGATTTCGTTGCGATAGTGGAACCTGGAGACTGTTTCTGCACAGGTCTAACCCTGGGGATTGACTACTGTGCT